TTTATTTGAAAAAGAAAGTTCTTGCTAGTTTAAGAATCGTGGAAATGATAATGGAAAGGAGCATACGTCCTTAGAACTCAACAAGTTTTATGATGAGAAAAATATACATCATCAACTTATTATTCCAAATACTCCACAACAAAATGGCGTATCAGAAAACAAGAACAGAACTGTAATGGATATGACGAGATCGATGCTGAAGGATAGAGGTTTACCTAACAAGTTTTGGGTTGAAGCAGTATATACATCGATTTATCTCCAAAATCGGCTATCTAGGAGAGCAGTTGAAGGATTTACTGTAACAGCCCGAACCCTAATATCGGTGGGTACGAATGTTTGCACAATATTTTTAATTAGTGGAACAGATAAATATTAAATATGTAGCAGAACTACACTTTAATAGAAAATCTAAATTAATTTACAATTTTAAAATAAAAACTGATAAATTTTTTTTCACCATCTTCTATTGATCTTTGACTTGTTTTTCATTTTCACGAGTTCAGTAAGAAAAAAGATTATATAACAGATACTTACGTATGCATATTCACACAAAATGAAAGATATAATGATACTCTATGATCTAGAAAAATATCAATCAAAACTCATAAATAAATATACAACAAAATATCAACAAAAACTTATCTTAATCTTTTTCATTATGTTATACTCTTATTCTTATAGATTATTTCTCAAAATTTTATACTTCATTCAAATCATTTTTTTCTTATTATTTACATTCTTTTTTCGTAATATTTCTCTATTTTGGATATCACACATCCACTCGAATATCACATCTACAATCGAAATATCACAATCCACTCGAAATATTACATCTAAGATTTTATCTCGCGAGTTTGTTTATATTGTCATCAATGATAGGCGAAAAGGATTCCCCCATCGCATGGATAGGACACACAATCTCACATTGGCCACAACAGGTATGTTTACTAGGTGACCCACAGGCTCACAAATACCTATCCACGTGTGGACTAGGTTTCACAAAGCTATCCATGTGCAGGTTCACCATACACACTGAAGTTCAGCCACACACACACCTTCCCCTCCTCGATTCAGACTAAACGAGTAAGGTACCGTGGTCCTTACACTCTACACTCTTTGAAAATCTCTCTAATTTCCAATTCACTTATTTCATATCTAAGATATTAATTTTTACGCATAATTAAACACAAATATGGACACTGTTTCATACACGCAGATTACACATTCACATGCCTAACATGTTTACACACATATTAATACACACACATATATTATAATATAAATATGTATCATCATTACATGTCTCACACGTAATATATATTTATATTTGCACATACAATCTTTGATACATACACACACATTTGTATTTAAACAAGCATATACAATTACACACAACAAATGATATACATAATTATTCATGTATTTATTCTTATCAATTCATATTTCATTTATCGTATATTTTTATACACACACACACACATGCATAATAACGTATATATATATACACAGTGTAAACACACCTAACTACAAATTATATTTATATTACATTACACATAGATTTAAATATTCACACATATTGCATTATATACATACACATTTACATAAATATATAATTTATGTCTTCGTATGGAATACACACAATTCTTACCCATGGTGTGATCGAAAAAGCTTTGGAAATCTTTTCTGGCTTGGTTTATAATCTTTTCGAAAATTTAGATATCATTTAGATAATTTTCCTCGTTTATAATGGAAAATACGCACTAATTATACATGCAAAAGGAGAATCATATTTTACCCTTAGACATGCGGTTCTGGTCACCGGCGTCACCACGTGCTACCACACGCATGTCAACGAAAATGCCACGCGCTGATGTTGGAATCAGTGCGCCTCATCATGCACAGCATACCAACAACATAACTGGTCACAACGCTTCCTTTTTTCTTCCCTATTTTTTTTCCTTTTTTTTCTTTTTTTCTTTTTCTTTCTTTTCTTCCTCACAATCGCTTTCTCTCTCCTCTGCTGTGAACCATGGCCACTGCACGCTTCCTCTCTGGCTGCATGTAAATCCTTCATTTGCCATGCGCATGAACTTTTTCTCTGGCAAGTCCGCTACGCACGGAGCCCCTCGATTCAGTCCAGCGTGCTCTCTTCTCTTTCTTCATCTCCTTCATCTTCTTTTATTTCTTTCTTATTTTCTTCTTTTTTCCTTTCTTTTTTTTCTTCTTATGTGACATGTGCTAATTTTTTAGTTAGACATCGATTTTTGTTAGCTTCAATCAACACCTGTATTGAGCCTAAACGATTTTCAAAGTCAGTGACATATGAAAAATGACGGGAAGCCATGAGAAAAGAAATTCATACAATGAAAGATAACGAGACATGGACTCTAGAAACTTTACCTGCAGGGAAAAAAATAATTAGATGTGAATAGATATATAAGATAAAGAACAAGTCAGATGGGATAATTAAAAAAATACAAGGCATGATGGGTAATACTGGGCAATAATCAAGTTGAAAGGATCGATTATAATAATATGTTTGCTCTAGTGGCGAAAATGGTGATAATAAGAACATTATTAGTTGTAGATGTCGTAAAAAACTGGGAGCTCCATCAAATGGACATGAATAATGCATTCTTGCATGGTGATTTGAATGAGGAAGCCTACATGAAGTTGCTTCTAGGATTTTAATTAGTAAATCAAATAAAGATTTACAAGCTGGAGAAATCTCTATATGGGTTGAGACAAGCTCTATAGTGCTAGTTTTCTAAGCTTGTGGCAATATTAAAAAAGTATGATTTCCTCCAATCATATTCTGACTATTCTTTATTCACTTATTGTAAGAATTTAATTCGACATATCTATGTTGAAGATTTAATTATTTATGGGAATGACTCTTTTACTATAGTAAAACTCAAGGAATATCTTAATAAATATTTTCATATGAAGGATTTTGGGATACTTAAGTATTTTCTTGGTATTGAAATGACTTATGGACCTAAAAGATTTTTTTTATATCAACGGAAGTATGCATTAAATTTTGTTACAAAAATCTTATCATTGGGAGCCAAACTAGTGTCAGCTCCGATTGAATAGAATCATCGATTGACTCTAGTAAACAAGCCACTCATGGACGATCCATAATAATACCAATGGTTGGTGGAAAGGTTAATATATTTGACTATTACTAAACTTAAACTTTACTACTGTGTTCATGTATTAGCTCAGTTTATGCAAAACCCACAATGAGACTATTGGGAAACAACATTGCGTGTAGTGTGCTACTTGAAGGAAAATATAAGACGAGGCATTTTTCTATGATTTGACAGTGATTTATGATTGTTTGATTATTGTAATTCAGAATAGGCAATCTGCCACTTTAACTCAAAGTTCATTGACTGGTTATGTGGTATTGTTGGCTCAATCTACTATCTCTTGGAAGATTAAGAAGTAACACACAATGTCTCATTCGTCTGTGGAAAATAAATATCGTTCCATGACTACTACAAGTTGTGAATTTAAGTGTTTGAAAAGACTTGTACTGTTCTTGGGAGTGACAAACAAAAGTCCTGCCTATTTATACCATGATAGCCAAACGACATTGCATATTACTACTAGTCCAATTTATCATGAAATGACAAAGCATATTGAGATCGATTATCGTTTTGTTCAGGATGAAATACAAGGAGAGAATATTGCTACATCTCATGTGCGTAACTCATGTGCGTACTTATAAGCAGTTGGTAGATATATTGACTAAGGGACTTAGTAGACACCAATTTGAACATTTATTGTACAAGTTGGACATTCGTAATCTTCATGCACCAACTTGAAGGGGAGTATTAGAGACCAAAATTAAGGAGGTCTTAAGGCTAGAATTAAGGAGATCTTAGGAGTCATAATTAAAGATATATGATTGTACAGGATTATGGAGACCTTATGAGTCAGAATTAAGGAGATTTGATTATAATAGGTTTCTTGTGGCCTTATGACTATTTTATATATATGAATTCATTTGTATAAGAGAGACATACAATTTTTCCATCAAAATTGACGGTCGTTATCCACCATTAGCTCTATTGCTAAACAAGATATCCTGTTTTTTTTTTTTAATGACTAGCTCCAAATCTTTTACATATTGTTGCATTCGAGAGAATACTTCAATAGAGAATGTTACTTTGAGAAGATGAAAAAAAGATTGACTAAAAAATCAAACAATCTTAAAAGAGTAGGAAATAATGAATATTTGGTTGCAATTTTAGGTAAAAATGGTTGACACACTACTAGAGAGAGGGAAACCTCATTTGGAAGAAAGGAACCCACCCTTTTAGGTAAAAATGGTTGACACACTACTAGAGAGAGGGAAACCTCATTTGGAAGAAAGGAACCCACCCTTTTAGGTTTTACATAATACACATTTCTACCTAGCAACATTTCTCTATTTAGTAAGTTTGATTTAATCATATGAATATCCAATGAACATAGTATTTAGCAAGAGCCTATCCAAAGGTGCAACAAAATTAGACATGGTTGGTTAGTCCATATTACAACATGGTGCCAAATAATTTTTTATGTCGTACTATTTCTATTTAAATTTTTTGTTTGATGAACCGTACATATTTTTTACATACAATAGATATTAGTAGCAATTCTCACTTTTATTTGTTTTCCGAATTCCGCACTGCGAGTTGTGTGGTAATGTGCAAGAAACAGTGAGTTGTTTTCCCTCTAACTTTAACCAACACAATACAAGATGACATTTCTTTCCCTTTTCCTCACACTTAAATCTCAACTACGAATTAAAAAATTGACTACCTAAGAATTTAATGAGAAATGAAGAAAAAGAGACCTTATTATACTATGTTTCAGTTAATTTTATCAACTTTTAGAACTTTTTTATGGACAAGAAAACATCACTTTAACTTAGTTCATCAAACAGTACTTTTTTTAAAAAGAAAAGAACTAAAACCATCAAAGAAAAAAGTAGCAAATAGTCAAAATTAAATTAGAGTAGACATCTACTTAACAATATGGAATTGATTCTTCCCTTTGTTTCATTACTTTGCTCTTTACTAGAGACCCCAAATACATAGAGAAGAAATGTATTTAAGATTGTTTTCTTTGTTCAGAATTATCTGATGAAAAGTCGAGACCTAGACACTTAAGGAATGCCGACTTAGCAAGCCTTACATAATAACACGGGTGGAATGGAAGCCTCGGTTCACTTTCTACAATCTCTTCTACTCTACTACTTGTGCCGGTTGCCACCTCACCTTTCATCATTTGGTTTTCCTCTATCTGCAAAAATTGCACAGAAAAGACTCTGTCTCATAGAGGTCTATAGAAAATTCTAGGGAACATTGACTGATCAATTTGATATTTTTATCAATTCACAATCAACAAAACTTCATCCCACCCAAAATTCTATGAATAAACAATGAAAACATAAACTTGGGCCAATTAATGCATAGAAGAATAGTGGACATAATGCTTGCATTAATATTTATTATGAATTTAAATAGATCGGTAATATGGTATTATATATTTAATTTAGTGACGATTTATTTCCTAAATTAGTTATGCTTCAATTTCCTATTTGTTTAGTATTGACTATCTGTGTTAGCAAGTATTGCTGTTCTAGGATTATTGTTGTGAACGGTTCAAGTAAATAATAATTATGGGTTGTAAAGGATAAAAAGTTCAATTCTAATAAACTCATATGTTATTCTTTAATAAAATAATTATTACATTGGAAGCATTTCCAAGCATTTCTTGTTTTCTGGGTGAATATTCCAATGAAAACTTACTGGATTTAAAGACTATTCGCTAGTTTAAACATTACCAAAACTTTTTGATAAGCTTGAAAGAGATCTAGCAAATTCATCAGCAATTTTTTCCTACATCAATTAATGTCAGAGCCTTTTTATCCAAATCAATAAAAACAAAAACAAGCACTGGAGAAAAAGAAACGTGAAGTTGCAGGACAACCTTCCACCTCCAACACCATGCTGTTAGCGAGATAAATTATCAGGATTTCTCATAATAAATATTAAAAACTTGGATCATCAGTCCTATTTATGGAGAATGTTCAAAACTATCAGGCTTTCTCAGACGTTCTCTCTCTCTCTCTCTCTCTCTCTCTTTAATTCCCTGGGTCCCTGGCTAAGTAGGGAAGGCATATGTATATCTGTTTTATCTTACCCTAATATAGAAATCCTTTCGAGTAATTTATCCAAACAAGTGAAACAACAGGACCAGGTTAGCCAAATCTTCTCTTTTTTCACCTCACTTTGAAGTTTGATCCTATCTATAATTTATAGTTTAAGTTAAGAGTCACGGGGTGATGTGGTCTCTCTCTCTCTCTCTTCTTTTGATAAAAATATAATTTTATTTTTTCACTATTGTATAATGCCTTCTTTCAATTTTGTTACCCGGTAAAACAATTATTACCTAAGTAAGTAAAGAAATTACTGATAATATACACAAAATCATATATGTCAAATGAGTAAAGAAATTACTGATAATATACACAAAATCATATATGTCAAATGCTGTAAGATATGGTTAGAGCACTACATAACTAGACAGTTGCTTTATTTTATATATGCGTTTGCAAAGTTGAGGTTGGGAGGAGCCATGATTAAATGAAGCTAATAATCTCTTTCCTCTTGAAAAAATGAGCAACCCATTATGGCTCTTCAACCTACCAGAAGGGCTGGTTATCTAACTTAGGTCATACTGATTTCCCAGTTATTTACTAAAAGAATATACTTTCAATCGAGATGAGATACATCTAAAAAAATGAATTTCTATAAACAATTATATATGTCAATGTCATAGTGAATGCAATCCGATTAATATGGTATTTAATTATTCCAATGCCCTTTATACTATTTGGATTGAGTTTGATTTTAATTTAATCATAAAATTAAGTTGTGTTTAACTAACTAATATTTCAATCAATTGTTATTAACTAATAAAATATGAATGTAAGTTTAAACTGAAAAGAGTCCAAAATTCAATAAAGTTATAATTAATATTTGTATACTTTATCAATAATATAATAACTATTTTGAAAAGGAAAATGTTTTTACTCAATTTGAAATTTTTACTTCAAAATTCTTGTACTTTAAAAGTAAAAGTCAAAACTAAAGCTCAACAAAGTTCTTTTTGTAAAAAAAAAATAATAATATTTTTGATATAAAATTTGTTGTTATATTTAAATAATTATGTTAAAATTAAAATAATAAAAACTTCCATACGATTAAAAACTTAATCATTATTATAATTTTATCATAATCCATTTATCAAAACTATGTATTTATTGTTTTTTATTTTATGTTTTAATAACAAACTCATGTTTTTAACATTTGACTTTAAAAAAAAAAAAAAAAAGGGAAGGCACTGGGGATCAATGAATATTCAGCTAACTTTGGAAAACGTGACCAAATTATAATCCTGCAATTATTGAAGTTCTAATTTAAGATTATTTAAATTTTAGTTTAAGATAAAATTTTAGTTTATAAACTTTTATTTAAAATAGTAACACAAATTAGAATGAGATTAAAAAATTTTGGATAACATGCATCCTCATCATTTTCTACAAATGATATCTACCATATTCATAACTATTCATTCCATCCAAAACTACAGCACTATTATAATAGTAATAATCATAATTTAATAATAATAATAATAATAATAATGTAATGAAAGGCCAAAAAGAAAAACCTAGAAAGAGGTCGGCAAGACTAATGCCAAAGCCCAGAAAGAGGCTGGCAAAAATAAAGTGATTTTTCAGATTGCGTGTAGAGTGTTTTTATATTTCTTTTGCTTCAAGATTGAATTAGAGTCGGACTTGGGTGGAATAAATTTGAGGTCAGAATCAAGTTTATCTCGCTTTGAATTTTTATTTGGTGTGATATTATCCTAAATCCAAACAAACACAAACGACATACAAGCATCTCGTACATCCAAATCAAGCGGAGAAGAAAAAAGAACAATAAGTTACGTACCTGCGAGCGGTTTAGGGTAAAAACCGTGGAGATAGTAGTGTTGAGCTGAGGAGAGGTTGTAGAGATTGAAGTTTCTTGTAGATCCAAGGGGGAAATACTGACAAAATAGAGAAGAAAGATGAGAAGAAAGAGAACTAATATCTGAATCCATATCAGCCATGGAATTTTGTAGTCGCTCTCCAGTGTTAGCTCATCCCCAAATTCAAACATGAAAGCTCTACGGAACCCTCAAAATATATGGCTTTTGAATTTCAGGGAGAGAGATAAGAGGGAGCGGAGAGCTGGTGAGAAAATTGGGTGAGAGAGAGACTGATGGTGGTTTTTACTCTATTATAATGGTGGAAAAATATATCAAATTTTCTCACAAAACGACGACGTGTTGTGTCTTTCTTTTAACAAGGGAAAAGTATATTAAAATAAAATATTAATTATATAAAGAGAGATCAGATTAGAAAAAATTTAGGTTAGTAGCCCATTGAATTATATTCTGGGAGCTTCCATTATTATATCAATTAAAAAATGTGATTAAAAATTTAAACAATTAGGTAAAAAATTCTACTATACAATATAAAAGAGAGAGTACTAAGTTTTTAATTATAAAAAATATCGAATTTTCAAAATCATAACACATGGGTGATTTGCAGACAAAAAAAAAAAAGAATGACTTAATTTTTAGCTATGAAGGGGATCGAAGAAATAAACTATAAAGCTCTAGTAATGAAAAAAATTTAATGACTTCATGTAATGTTAATGTATAATTGTGGTGTTACCATGAAGGTTCCTTATTTCTTGATAATAGAAAAAGAAATTCTTTTATAGCACCAAAAAGAAAAAGCATATTAGAGTCATGTATACATTAAATAGGTTACTTCACAAAGAATATGAATTCTCCCAACTAAATTTTCTTCCATCAAAGCCGTAATAACAAACGCATGATATGAAATTTTCTTGCAAATTCTTTTAGAGTGAAGTAAGAAAGTAAATCATTAATGCAATGTAGAGGAAGATTTTCAAGTTTAAATATTCAAAATAATTCTAGAAAAAATTTTAGAACATGTGCAAAGATTAAAATAAAATTGATATTTGTAACCACTAGGATAAGACTAGACACTGGACAAAGGACTTTATAATCATGAATCAACAAAAAAGTTTATGGAGATTTTTCAAGTATGTTAATTATTGAACTAAATCTATTTGTCAACAACTCTTATTGGATATTAGATATTAAATTTATTTTCATACATTTGCATTGGGTTATATTTAGTAATAAATATAAGGAATTTGAGTAAAAGCAATTGCTTATTCGATCGAGAATAAAGTGTTCTCAAGTCGTAATAAGCGATAGTTTAGAACTTATTGCAAGAAAAATATTAATTTTGAAAAATCGATAATTGTATTTTCTTTCGACACTATTCTAAAGTCGTTTAACACTTTATCTCTCAAAAAATAAAAAAATAAAAAGTTCATCAATGATTCTCTAAAAATAGCAAGAAAATATTATTAGACAGTCAAAAAATATATATATAGTAAATGAACTTTATATAATTTGTTCTTGAAGCATTGCTCCCATTTTCATTTTTCTTGATGTCTTCTAGTCTCATTATGTAACACCCAACATTTATTTTTTTTATTTATATATATATAATTATTTGTTAATTGAATTTAATTTAGTTTATTTTATTTTAATTTAATTTAATAAAAAATAATAATAATAATAAAAAGGTAAAAATTGGTTGAGCATTTAATTGAAAATAATTTTGAAAAAAAGGGGTGAAAATTTAGGTTTTTGGGTATCTTTGAAAGAAAAATCGGAAACCGGGAGGTCAAAACGCAATTTAAAAAAATTTCGCCATGTCAAATGTCCGGTCAGCAGCCCCGACCAATTAGGACGCGCCAGGTGGCAGAGGCGCTGACGCAGGAGGCTACGTAGGCGATCTGCGTGCACGCGATCGAACGGCAGAGATCCGTTCCCAGGCGCACGGACGACCCATTTGAAAACGCGCACGGACAGCCCAGATTGAATCACGCACGAATGGTCTAGATTGAATCGTGCACGGATGGCACAGATTGAATCGCGATGAATGGTCCAGATTCACTCTCTATTTAATCGCGATCGGACAGTCCAGATCAAAAATGATGGACAGCCCAGATCAAAAGCTGATGGGTATAAATAACCCCATACGCACCCAAACCCTCACCTTATCCATCAAAGCCCCACGCTAGAGAAGACATCCCAGTCGCCAGGGAGCCGACCGCTGCCACTCGCTGCCGCACCGGAGCAATTTTTGACAGCCAAACGAGGTAAACATTTCTCCTCTTGCACGAAATTCAATTTTAAACCCACCCGTGGCCAAATCGGAGTGAAAAAACCAGTTAATTGGCCAGAAAACGCCGC